GAATTGATTTGTTGCAATTTTCATTTCTGATTCAAAATTAACAAAACGAATTCTTTCTCGAGCATTTCAAAGATGTTTTCGTCCAGAAATTTCTTATTTTAATCGATCAAACAATAAAAAACAAACGAACTATTTAGCATCTATTTCAAATCGTTTATCAACAAACATTTTAGCTATGCAAGAGAGATATTTGGAACACATATTATCCATTTTTAAGATAGAAAGCCTACGGCTCTTCTATTATGTCCAAGCATACAAAGTTTCGACGGTGATCTTCGATTTTATCTCATTTATTTTTATTAAAAATAAGTTTTCAAGCATTTGACAAGATATCTTCATCGGTTTTTATAAGTTCAGAAATAACATTGATCCTAGTCTTTCAAGATTTTCAGCTAAAAACTCTGAAAATTAGTCATAGTTTTGACATAGAAATAATTTAGAACGCCTTTTATTATTGCTACAGCATTATTTCTTCAATGACGGTTTTTCAATATATAATGTCTCTTCTAATATAGGAGGTCTTGTGTTGAAAGGAGAGGTTTAGTTGCTATTGAATAGTCACTTGGAGGATATTATAGTATTTTCGTTCGTCTTTTTATATTCAGTGACTAACACAAACTATGGATTTCTCATACTATTCATGTCCATCGTGTTCAAACCTTTTCGAACTCGAACCCGATGCAAATCTCATCCGGCGGGCTTTACATCCTTGAAATTCTTATTGAAATAATATCCATGCTTAATTTTGCACTTGTCTTTTAATCTTTATTTCATATTATATTTTCCTATCAAATCGAAAACAAATCTCAAGAAATCATAGAAATTCTTTTAATAAATTGCTGTTTAATTGATCAATAGTATTTGCAAAAATTAAATAATTAATTATTGAAGAAGAAATTTTGACAGAGTATTTTTCTATATTAAATCAAATATTTCAGTTTGTTGAACAATATCCTTACAAATTTCATCGTACCAATACTATCATAATAAGACGATATGATCAGTTATAGATAGACATGTTCGCCGATCTTCCGATTGGCGGCGGTAGCGGCAAAATTTTTCGAAAGTTATTTTATCGAGTCCTTTGTTAATTTCGACCTTTCTTACAAACATTACACTTTTCGCTTTCACAGACGTATACTGTTATCTCCATATCACACACGAATCTCTTTTTATATTATAAAAAAAAATCGCTATACTTTGATTTATTTTTATCAATTCGAAAATTTCACACTGTTTCATGATAAAGGACTTGAAATGAAACAAAAATAATGAATGATGTAAACTGAAACAGTAAATAAAGTCACCATGCAAGAGATTGACCGACATTGACAGGACGAAGTTTGATGTAAACATCTCGAACGTAATGTGTCATCTTGGTGGAGGAGGTACGTATTTCTTCGCTTGTCAGATACAATACAAAGATAGCAATAATGTTATTCATGTGAATAAAAGTGTAATGCGAAACGTCTATTTATACGTTTCTGACCATATTGTCCTAACCTGAAACTTGATCGGCGGCGGCGAAAAGTCGGCGGCTAACATGTCTAACTATAGACAAGAGAGACAGAGAGAAAAAAATGTCGAATATTATTTCACATATGCGTATATATTATAGATATCTATACGTTTTCGTTATTCTAGTTTAGTATTATCATCATTTACTAATTCAAATATGGAACGAATAAAACGACCATTAGACGACATTGTTTATGATTATAATGAAAATAAGAAACAAAAAGTAGAAAATAAATGTGAGATTTTTTTTCTTGTTTTTTTTTGTTGTCAATATGTAATAAATCTTTATCTATTTGTATTTGTTTTTAGTAATAATAAATAAGTAAGTTATGTAAAATTTATTTAATCATTTAATTTTCTTTTATTTTATAGATCTTATTCTGAACATTTACCAAATGAAATTATTTATGATATATTTCAATATGTTGATGTTTATTATGTTTACGAAGGATTTTTTTATCTTAATCAACGATTTCAAAATTTAGTTCTTAATAGAAATTTTTTAATTCAAATAAATATTCCAACAATATCAAAATCAAATTTTGATCTTTATCATAAAAATATGATTAAACCAAATAAATATCGAATAAATTATATTCGTCTATCAAATTCATTTACTGTTGATATGATTTTTTCACCACCACGTATTATTTGTTATTATATTCAACTTGAAACATTAATTTTTGATAATATTATTGATATAAAATATCTTGAGAATATTTTCAAACATTTAAGTTTTTTACCAAAATTACATTCATTAGTTTTGAGTCTTATTGATCATGTTCAAAATCCAGCTCTTCTTTTTCATCATATATTTCGTTTATCAAAATTAAAATATTGTAAAATAACCTATATAGCAAGATTTGGTCAAAAACTAATGCCAATCGATATGAATCATATTGTACATAGTCCTATCGAATATCTTATTATTATTAATAATCGTTTTTCAATTGATTTACTTTATCAAATACTTCCTAGTCTTCCAAAACTTCTTTATTTATCAATTGATTGTCTTCTTGGATTGAATTATTCATATACTAATCAAACTCCTATTACATTAAAATATTTAAAAACAATTTCTATTAATGTTGATCATGTAAATTTCAATCTATTCCAACAATTATTCAAATATTGTTTTAGTTCTTTGGAAGTTTTACATCTTACAACACATGATCCAACATATTTGGCTTCAAAACAATGGGAAGAATTAATCTCATCTTCAATGTTGAATTTACGTATTTTTGATATATATTATCGTAATATTGTACAAAGTAAGGATTTAATATATATTCCTTTAATTTGTCGATTTGATTCTTCATTTTGGACTCAACGACAATGGTTTTTTACACGTGCACATTATGAAGAAAAATTCTCAAATTATGTAATACTTTATTCAAGAAATCCATATAGAAGAAAAGATTACATATTTTATGATGAATTCTATCCGTTACATGATTTACGTACTCAAGAAAATAATCTCAATTCAGTTAAACATGTTCATATATATGGCCGATATCTATCTAATGATAATGTAAATTATTTTCCAAATGCTAATGAATTAACAATTGAAGAAAATTTCAATACACTTGATGATTCAATTTCAACAACTCTTAATCGTGTTCTTCCTTTAAAACAATTGACTAAATTAATTATTAATATTTCTAATTTTACTTTTGAACAAATTATTAATTTAATACGTTTTACACCTAATTTATATGTATTAAAATTAGATTCATTATCTTTTAATGGAATTAATTTAGAATTAATTGAACAAAATGAAATTTTTCAATTTGTATCAAATACAAATAAAATAAAAACTATAGAAATTCGTGAATCTTTTATATTAGAAAATTTTCAAATGATTATTAATGTATTTCTACAAGTTGAATATCTTAAAATTGGAATGAATAGAAAAGAAATGAATCAAATTATACGATTTTTATCTTCAAAAATTAACAATAAAACATGTCGTTTATGCTTCTTGTGTATTTCAAAAGTACCTAAAGTATGTTTACGAGAACTAAATGTTTTAATTAAATCAGAAAACTTATTCAAAACTTATTCTATTAAATATATTAATCGTGATTTCTTCCCTCGACTGTATTTATGGTGGTAGAGATTTAATTGTTTAGGATAAATTTTATTTTATTGTATATTGTTCGTAATTATTTTTAAATAAACGAAACAATTCATTGATTCTTACTTTCATCTGATTTATACGATGATACAATAGTTCAGCCTCTACAGAATGTAAATGAAAATTATTCATGAGAAATACGTTTTCTTAATATTATAAATTTCATTTTGTAATTATCAAATGGTTTTGTTTGAACTTCGTTTCATTAGTTCGTATATGAATGATGTAGAAAGAATTGAATTATCAATAATTAATAAGAGCTTTAACATGAATACTGCTTCGTCTTTCAGGTTCGACAAGGGTGTGTGGGTGTTTTGCTACTCGTCATTTGCACACATTAATCTTGTCAAGTCAAAATCGATTTGTCATGAAGTTATGATAGAACTCGGCATGATCATCACAAATCTTCTGATAGCAGAACAAAATTTTCTTTGATATTTTATAAGGAAGGCATCAACTAACAACTACTCGCTAATAAATTTTTATGGTTCTGTTAAAAGTAGTCCAGAAAAGTGAATCCGGTATTTGAAAATGTGAAATTTTTATCCTTCAATATGACCTAAATTTAAAAGAGTAACTCGTATTAAAGGACAATATAGACTATCGAACCTATCATCAGTTACATTTGTGAGGATGAAACTTTGTTTTTGAAGGGTGGGTGTGGGTGTGTGTGGGTGTGGGTGTGGGT